AAAAACCAAAGAGTAGGATTTTATTAGCTATATAGTTTTAGGAATACAGAACTACTTTAGGGTAGAAATTCCACAGGGGACCCAACCTGCAAGTGGAAGTTGAAGACATAGTCTCCACTATTTTAATGGCTGAAGGGAATAGGGCTTTGGATCATTTAAAAGTATATTGTAAAAACCCAGGGCCAGCCTTATTGTCAATAGGGAAATACTTTCTTAGTATAAACAGTGGTTAAGTAAGAATGCCTCTCTCACCCTATCATTTGACTTACTTCTAGAAATGATAGTTATAGCAATAAGTTAAGAGAAGAAAATCAAAAGCATAAACATCAGCAAAGAGGAGACCCTAAGCCCCTATTATACAGGGGAAAATTCAATCTTGGGAGGGAGTGCTTTCCCCCAGAAATGCCCAAATAAAGACAAAAAGAATCGGTAAAATATAATTTAAACATAAAATTAGCAGCTTCTTGTAAATTCTAGCTTGAGGGAGCAAAATTTGGAATTTAAACATAGATAGCTCTCAATCCAGGATTTCCTCCCATGTAGTACATAACCCAAACTTCCTACAATACCATTTCTCAAGTCCCTCATCCCTTCTAGCACAGCCTAGAAAAGTTTCTAGACATATTGGAACCAAATTTAAAAAATGTGCCAACTGATGAATCTAATATAAATAAGTGCCTATAAAATAAGAGGATGGACCACGTAGAGAGCTGAAATTTAACTAGGGAAGGACAAGAAGGCTTTGCCTCAGGGTACAAAAATTGAGGGCCCTGACAGCATATCTCTTCCTTGGTCACCATAGAAACTACTGAGCTAAGAACCTAATTAACAAGAAAAATGCCTGAAAATAGAAAGCTACCAGATGGCATGCTTCCTCCCTTTTCCAATTCCTATGGCCACACCCCAGGTGAGCTGGTCCCTTCTTGAAAGCAGTCCCCATCATGGGGGCAGTGTGTCCCATGGTCTCTCCTCTTCCTAATGTTTCTCTCCTTACCCTAATAGAATTTATCTTTCAAAAGTTGATTTGAGGGCATGTTTCATGCTGCTTGTCCCAAGCACATTTTGTGAAGTTTGCTCCTTGTGTTAAAATTGCCAATTATGGCTCTAGAAGGTCTCTGAGTTCTCTTTCAATTATAACATTTTGTAGTCCTGTGTTTTTTTTTTTTGCTTTAGTTTCTATAGTATAGAGCTTGGCAAAAAAAAACAAAAAACAAAAAACAAACAAACAAAAAAAAACAACCTAGGGTCTAATCCTAACTCAGCTGAAAGTTATTACAGTTGAAGGCAAGTCACTTTGCTTCTCTGGGACTCCACTTTCAAATCTGTAATAAGAGAGCTTTGGACCAGATGATCCCTAAATTACCTTATAGCTCTAAATTCTATTATCCACTTCCTCATTAAACTCTCATTCCTCCCATTCTTCATCTCCTTTTCTCCATGAATAGTAGGTTCACTGAAGTAGCCACCTCTTTCCTGATCATTGTTCCCTTTTTTCCCCTTCATTTATTTATGTAGCATTGTCACCTTTTCCCTTTCATCAAGGGCTCTGGTCCCCAAATAAGAAATTCCCCTTGGGCTTTACATCCTGAATTTATTTAAATGAGCTTACTGAAACTTAATGGAAGACAGTGTTAAAGGCCTGATTGAGAAGTGACCAATAGAAGGTAACTTAATTACACAGAGATATATTCCATTATACATAAATACAATACATTGACAAAGTTAACATTCTATCCGGCTGAGTAGAGTGGAGGTATGGACGCAGACCCTACTTGCTTTTATTTTATATATTCATATACAAAATACCAGCTAAAATGAGCTCATTTTGGCTAACAAACCAAAAAAAAATTCCTATATGTGGAAAAATAGCTAGAGACATTGAAATTCCTTATTAGCTTCCTTTAACATCAAAAAATATTGTTTAATCATCCATTTATACCTTGAAGTATATTAGGAGCTAAACAAAAGAAAGATGTCTCAGCAGCTAGCACAGTGCGTCACATAGAGTAGGTGCTTAATTAATGTTTATTGATTGACTGTCTTGGAATCCAAAGAAAGTAAGAACTAATGGTACCAGAAAAGCTTATAGTATTTTTAAAAAGGATATTCTGTGAGCAAAGGTGAGGAAGTGTGTTTTTCAGGCTTGGGAAACCTAGAGTTCAGAGTCATGGAAATGGGAGGTGGAGTGCCATGTGTAAGGAACAAAGAAAAGGCCAGGATAACTGGATCTTAGAGTACTGGAAGGAGAGTAATGGATAATAAGGCTGGAAAGACAGAATGGGGCTAAGTTGTGAAGGGTTTTAAATACTAAATGGAGTTTATATTTTATCCCAGAGGCAACAGGGAGCCAATAGTTTATTGAGTGAGGGGATAGAATCAATTTGGTAGCTATATGGAAGATGAGAATTTCAATAGCTTGGGCAATGAGTGATAAGGACCCAAACCACAATGGGGGCTATGTGAGTAGAAAGAAGATTTTAGATGTGAGAGATGTAGAAATAGAAACAAGATTTAGCAAATGATTGGATATATAGAGTGAGGGAGACTAAGAAAAATGCTGATGTTATGAGCTTCGGAATTAGAAGAATGGCGGTACCTTTGATAGAAATAGGGAAGTTTGAAAGACAGATTTTGGGGAAAAGATAATAAGTTGTTTTGGACACCCTGAGTTTGAGTTCAAACATCCATTCTGAAACGTCCAATAGGCAATTGTTGATGTGGGACTGAAACTCAGGAGAGAGACTGATGTCAGATAGTTTGGGGAGTCTTCTGCCTAGAGGTTAAAATTAAAGTCATGAGAAGTGAAAAATTGACTTTTTTGGGGGGGGGGAGACATGACAAGTGGGAATTTGTTTTGCTTGACTATGTATTTTGTTACAAGGATTTCACTTTTCTTTCTTTTTAAATGGTGGTGATGGTATGGATAACAGGGAAAGAAAGTAGATTTTTGTTAACTGAAATTAATGAATTAATGAAAATTAAAGCCAAAAGAACCAATGAGGTCATCAAAAGAGAGCATTGAGAGAAGGAAGTGGCTATGATAGAACCTATGGGACACTCATAATAAATAGTTAATATTAATGATCCACCAAAGGAGACTGAAAAAGAGTGGTAAGACTCACTGTGTCACTAAAATGCAGGAGAGAATGTAAGAGGATGCTGAACAGTGTCAAATGCAGCAGAAGTCAAGAAGGAATTGAAATTTTGAGGTCCTGTCTACTCTGTATGTGCAGGGAAGATCCACTGCCATATATCCCAGTATAGGATACTATCCTAACAGCACTGCCCAAATTTCTTGGAAATGGCACATTTTGGGGGCAACCAACAGTTTAGGTTTTCTAGCAGACATTCTTAAGGTATATTAATCACCCTATGAAAGGCATAATAATAGCATTAATAATAACAATAGTAATAGCACATTTTATATAAAAGCATACATGCCACATCACGATGCTTCTTCATGACAGACATGGTTGATGATAAAGAAAAGGAACACGGGAAAGCATTGCTTCTATGGAAGGCAGTTGACTTTTTTAAAGACAAAAATACACCATTAGGTTCACTGCCCATTGGTGGCCCTAGCGCTTAGCACAGTGCCTGGCACAAAGTTGGCACTTAATTAAATGGCAACTTAAATAAAAAATTAGTTGACTGACTGACTGAGGGGCAGGCAAGAGCCTGAAGAGGGTAGTTGGAGATGCCAGGTGGGTCCTGCTGGAAGAGTCCTGAAGGTGACAGGATTGGGAGGATAGTGTGGAGATTCACCAGAGATGACACCTGGCTGAAAGGATGGAGAAGAGGTGGGAAGGCTGCCCTGGCCACGCAGGTAGCACATGCAAGGGGCGGGAGACTTCCAGACTTGCATGTACACAGGGAGGAGGCACCGGCAAAAAAGGTATGGGAGGCAGGGAGGGAGTAAGTGATCGATCTGGACCGGGGAAAGAGAGGGAGCGAGCGCCTCACTGAGGGGCGGGCCAGGAAGAGTAGGCTGGCGTAGGCTCTCATCCGGCGCCTACGGGGTTAACAATCTGGGCCGAGGAGAAAGGGAAGAACTCGGTTTCCAGGGTAACGGCTCCGACTGTTCCGGCAGCACTGGCTCATACCACTATCCCAGAGGGCGTGGGGGGAGCCAGAAAGGGAGGGAGACGGAACTGCTGAGTGGCGGGGGACGCCCTGGACTCTACCAAGTGCGCAGCCCGCCCGCTAGCCCTGAAGCCTGAGGGGAGCCTCGCGACGGCGGCCGAGACGGCGAAAGGAGAAGGAAGAGGAGGAGGAGGAGGAGGAGGAGGAGGAGGAGGAGGAAGCGGCGGCGGCGGCGGTCTCCTTGCGCGAGCCGGGAGCGCCCAACTGCCGGAGGGCGGAGGGGGGAGAGAAAGCTCGGCCCTCATCGTCCCGATCGACCGCCTTGTCCCCCCGCCTGGGCGGCGGAGTGCGGGCGGCCCGGGGCTGCTAGGTTTGAAAAGCGGGCGAGAGACAAAGGCAGCAGGAAGCCTCTCCGGCGGCCCGGAGTCCAGGGCGCCCGGCCTCCCTGCCAGCCCGCCCGCCCCCACCCGACCTCTTCCCGGCCTGGCGGCGGCGGCGGCGGCGGCCGGAGGCAGAGGCGGCAGCGGCAGGAGGAGGAGGAGGAAGAGCAGGATGCAGCAGGGGGCGTGGGAGCGGCGGCGGCGGAGCGGCGGCAGCCTCGCTCCCCGAGCCCAGCGGGGCTAGAGCGGCGGGGCCCTGCGGAGCCGGGCGGGGCCGCGTGAGTGCGAGCGAGCGAACGAGCGAGCCCGCAGCCCGGCATGTGAGCGCGAAGCCGCGGGAGGACGGGGGCAGGCAGGCGGGCAGGGCAGGGCAGGGCCGGCGAGGCAGGAAGGACGGACCCGGAGGAGGAGCGGCTTTGGCGGCGGCGGCGCGGAGCCGGAAGGCCGGGAGAGCTGGGGGGGATCTCGGGCCCGCGGCGGCGGCGGCGGCGGCGCCGGCGGCGGTGAGCGGGGCTCGGCCCCTCCTCGGGCCGGGGGCGGCTGGGGCCCAGGCCCGCGCCTCCTCCCCCCCGGCGCCCGTGGAGGGGGGAGGAGGAAGATGGAGACCCACATCTCGTGCCTGTTCCCGGAGCTGCTGGCCATGATCTTCGGTTACCTGGACGTCCGTGACAAGGGGCGCGCGGCGCAGGTGTGCACGGCCTGGCGGGACGCCGCCTACCACAAGTCGGTGTGGCGGGGGGTGGAGGCCAAGCTGCACCTGCGCCGCGCCAACCCGTCCCTGTTCCCCAGCCTGCAGGCCCGCGGCATCCGGCGGGTGCAGATCCTCAGCCTGCGCCGCAGCCTCAGCTACGTGATCCAGGGCATGGCCAACATCGAGAGCCTCAACCTGAGCGGCTGCTACAACCTCACGGACAACGGGCTGGGCCACGCGTTCGTGCAGGAGATCGGCTCCCTGCGGGCCCTCAACCTGAGCCTGTGCAAGCAGATCACCGACAGCAGCCTGGGCCGCATCGCCCAGTACCTCAAGGGCCTCGAGGTGCTGGAGCTGGGCGGCTGCAGTAACATCACCAACACGGGCCTGCTGCTTATCGCCTGGGGGCTGCAGCGCCTCAAGAGCCTCAACCTGCGCAGCTGCCGCCACCTCTCGGACGTGGGCATCGGGCACCTGGCGGGCATGACCCGCAGCGCGGCCGAGGGCTGCCTGGGCTTGGAGCAGCTCACTCTGCAGGATTGCCAGAAACTCACCGACCTGTCCCTCAAGCACATCTCCCGGGGCCTGACCGGCCTGAGGCTGCTGAACCTCAGCTTCTGCGGGGGCATCTCCGATGCAGGCCTCCTGCACCTGTCCCACATGGGAAGCCTGCGGAGCCTCAACCTGCGTTCCTGTGATAACATCAGCGACACTGGCATCATGCACCTGGCCATGGGCAGCCTGCGCCTCTCTGGGCTGGACGTGTCTTTCTGTGACAAAGTGGGTGACCAGAGCTTAGCCTACATTGCCCAGGGACTGGATGGCCTCAAGTCCCTTTCCCTCTGCTCCTGCCACATCAGTGATGATGGCATCAATCGTATGGTCCGGCAGATGCACGGGCTACGCACCCTCAACATTGGGCAGTGTGTTCGAATCACTGACAAGGGCCTGGAGCTGATTGCTGAACATCTCAGCCAGCTCACTGGTATTGACCTCTATGGCTGCACTCGAATTACCAAACGGGGACTAGAGCGAATTACTCAGCTGCCCTGCCTCAAGGTGCTCAACCTGGGACTCTGGCAGATGACTGAAAGTGAGAAGGTCAGGTGAGGGCAACAGTGCTAGGCTTCCTCCCCTCCCTTCTCCTTACTCTTGTGGACTGGACACAGATTATCTCAGTGGATGGGGGGCGGGCAATGATGTCTAGCCAACATATTCATTTTCTCTTCCCTTCCTTGTGCCCCATCAAACCCATTCTGTCTTGGCATTTGGGGCTGGAAACAGATCCAGCTTTGTCATTCCTCTGCTACACCTACCCTACCATTTCCTTTACACTGAGGATGGGGACAGACCCAGTCACATAGAGCCACCCCTTTTTGCATAGGAATTGAAGACTGATTCAGCTTGCCTGTACCCCATACCGCCTTGCATTGGGAGTGTAGGGTGAAGGAGGGTAAAGTGACTAGTCTCTTTAAACCAGGGGAGTTGCTGAAGAATCTCTGCCTTCACTTATGCATTTATTTGAATACTGTGATCTGGTTTTTATTTCGAAGTGTATAAAAAAAAAAAAAAAAGCAAACCCAGCTACTACATCCTCCTCTACTTGTGTAACTAATCCTGGTCTCTTCTCATTATTTCTTCTTTTATAGCAAATCTGGTATTCATGCTATTTTTCCCTTTCACTTTTTTTTTCTTATTTTGGAAGATATTTGAAATCCTTGTGGATTTTTAAGTACCATTCTTTTCTGCTGAATATATCCCATATATTATATATATGTGTATGAAATATATATAATATATACATTTATATATGTCTGGCTACCTCGTTTTAGTTTACTTTTTTCTGAAGCCCTGGAATTCTTAAAAGAAAGATATTTTGAGACTGAAACATTTTTGTGCCTAGACTGGAAAGAGACCCCTATGGGTTTGTAAATCTTTGTTTTGATTCTCCTAAATCCCCCACCCAGTGTATCTCACTTCCATATTCTGGCTATAATTTTCTCTCTTTCCTCCATAGGGATTGGGGGACCCAACTGTATCTCTGAACCTTGACTTAATTTATAGCACAAATGATAGGGAAAATGAGGACTGGACTGGTTTAATTTTGTTGTTGTTTTTTGTTTTTTGTTTTGTTTAAAGTGAGATGCAGATTGTGTCTTGAAAATGATTATTATATATGCAAACTCTACCCTCCCCCAACCCCTTTTCCAAATTTCCCTACCAAGAAAAAGAAAAAAAAGGTCACAGAGGCTTCCTGTTGGGAGTGGAGAAAGGTGCAGAGCTGGCCTGTAGAACCCAGGGGCTGTAATGTGAAGGGGGAGGAGACTGAAATTCATGTCTTATCTCAGTTCAGTCAATAAAATGGAGCTCATGGGTTTTTTAAAATTCTGTTTCTAAATGGAGGAATAGATAGATGACTTTTGGTTTAGGGGTTTATTTGTTTATTTTTTTGTTTTTTGTTTTTGTTTTTCTTATTTTTGTTTTTTTGGTGGTGGGTGGGAACTGTGGCTTTAAAAAATGTTTACTTTTTGAATAGGGAAGGCTTTTTTTTTTTTTTTTAAAGAATCCTCCACAGTAATAGGCCAGATCACGGAGTTAAAACAAACCCAGAGACCCTATCAATTAATTGTACTGTTTGTGAATTTGTATAAATAATAACAAAGATCCTCTTAAAAAACATTTTATATTCTTACAGTAAAGGTTAAACTGATATTTATATAATAAAAAGAGGAAATATGAAATATGTTTTTGAAAAAAATCAGTCTATCTGTGAATTATTTTTAAGGCACTGTGTGTTTATTTTTGTATACTCTAAAGAGAGTAAAAGAAAATAATGTATTCTGTGTGGATGTATAATAGCCTTATGGTTAAAAGTTTACTTTTTAGAAGGACCAGTGTTGCCATTGAAATGTACTAAAAATTAGCTGATATATCAAACTTAAGTTTAAATCCAGTGTTTCTGTTTGTTTTAAGAATACAATATTATCCACATGGGAATTTCAGAAAATGAAACAAAACCCAACAGAATGACCAACTTTACTTTCAAGGGGAGAGGGGTATAACTATGGGGCAAAAAAAAAAAAAATCCATTAAAAAAAGAGTAGAAGGAGTAATGGTCTCCCTTACGGTTCTCATATTGGGTGTGGGGAGGATGTGAAATGGTGGAGGGAGCTAAAGCCATTGTTCAGGAAAGTTAAGAGAGAGCTGTCCTTGCTCGCTTGTTCAGTCATGCATACTGAATCTCTCACAGTGTGAAGGTCCCCATGGAAAAGAGTAGTGCAGTTCATCCCCTCTTTTTAACATTCCTCTCCAGGCCTGGCTGTATTTCAGCCCTTTCCTGGGGGAGGGGAGACCAGAAGTTCTTGTACATTTGCATTTTAACCACTTCCACTGTTGAAGCAGGCCCCTGATTCTACCCTGGTGAGTGTTTTTACAGTGCATGAGGGCTTTTTACAGCTCTGCTACTCCTTTAATGAAGAGTTGGTTACCTCCAAATCTGACACCTACTTGCTTTGAGAATATGGATATGAAGTTTCTGGCTAACATTCATCTTGTTCTTATTCAGAGTTTTACGCTCTTCATTTTTTCTTAAGTCATACAGATAAAGGAGCTGACATTTATAAAATCTATGTAAAATAGGGATACAAAACTTCTCTGGATCAGCCCCCTTCCTAGGGAGAGGCCAGCATCTAGGCTTCGGCTAGGGTAAGATTGTTTTGTAAAATTTCTAAGCTCTCTGCTTGAGTATATCACAAAAGCTGCATTGTTCCCTTTAGGAAAGCCAGCACAATTGGGTCTAATTGAGCCTGACACTATATCCATCTTCCTTTGCTTTGAAGGAGGTGTGGATCTCTTCCCAGCTAGAAGTTTACAATACTTACTGAAAAAAAAAAGGGTGATGTGTGAACCCCAAATAAAAACTAGAAACTTAAGATCGGGGTCAGAATTCCAATTTAACACCATGCTACAACTCATGAGGGTTTTAGCCCATTTTGATACTTAGAAGTCCTTCCATATATGTGGAAATAAGCTGTACATTCTTTACTTTTGGATACAACTAGTAAGGACCCCTAAACATGCATCTAATTTTTAAAAAATTTTTATGGCAAGAAATAGACTTATTATTTCTAGGTTAAGGTACGCTAAGATTTGAAATGAGAGACCAAATGTCCTCGTACTAAAATAGATAATTTGGATCTTAAAAACCATCTTTCTGAAAAAAGTTGAGTGATTCAGCCAGATTTTCTTAAAAGGCTCGTTGCCAAGCTCTGGAGAGTCCATTACGTTTGACTGATAACTTGATCTTGATAAAGTTGAATGGTCTGTATTCTCCTTAATCTTTAGAAGGAAAAATGATGAAAGTTGGTCCATGGGTAAGGTTTTGGGGATTAGGTCTGGGTTGGGGTTGGTCTGTTACCTTTACCTAAGCAGGGCTCTGAGGGCAAAGAAAAACCTAAAAAGGGAACATTAAACAGAAATAGAAATAATAGAAATTTTGTGGTAGCTTAAAAGGTACGAGGCCAAAGTCTCTCAAAGTCAAGAGCAGAGAGGAGAATGATATATATAAGGTAGCCCAAAACTCAAAGCTGGAAAGTAAGCAAGTGCTAACTAGAATCAGATTGATTGAAAAAGTATAGTACCTATTTTTATAAATTTCATGGTCTTGATGGAAATATCACATTGCCACAGAAACAATTTCAACAGATCTTACCTCTTCAGGCAAAAGCCCTTTTAATATTGCAGTCTTTGCTGAAAAGATAATCGATGAACTCAACTGCATGGCTGAAATGGTTTCTGCAGCCCCCCAAGGATGCCAAGTGGGCACCAGGCCAAGGTTGTTGGCACCACTGCATAATGTTCCCAGCCATAGAGTCCTTCCTCTCTGCTGAATTCTCAGCCTTAAGGAGGAAGCTCTTCAGATGAACTTACAAGTATTTTATTAGGCTTTTGTAAAAAAAAAAAAAAATCTTCTGTATTTGGCAGTTAATAAATTAAATTAACTAAAGTCCATGTCATCCTTTAAAAAACATTTTTAAAAATCATTTTTCAAAAGTGATCTCTTTAAAGGGGGAAATGACTTGGGGGGGGGGGAAGTCATTTTTCCTTCCATAACTGAAACATTTGAAATCTTTTAAGATTACAATTTTTTGTTTTTCAACAGAGCCACCAAGAATAGACTGGCTTTGGAAGAGAAACAAATGCTTTCACTTTTGACTTTGAGGACATGAACTCAAGTTTTCAAAGGTTTGAGGGACACTGGCAGCAAGAGATCCCACGAAAAGGATTTCTAGATTAAAAAATGTAAAACAAAACCAAGATCTTATGTAGTTTCGAAACAGTTTTGCTTCTCAATCTAATCAAAGGCCTCGACCTTTGATTTTTTTTTCTTTTTTTAGCACTGTTCTAAAGTACAAGGAAAGGGACCTATGGCAAGTCTAGAGTAGTCTGTCTTCTCTATGCTTAGTCTCTTTTCCTTCCATCTGACATCATCCCCTTTAAAAGTGAATTCTATCCCTTTGCCCTTTTAGGCAAAACCTAAATTTTGTGCCACCATAAACCATTGAGTAGTCAGAAGGTGAAGCTTTTTGATGAAATCATAAGGATTATGGATAAAGCTCGGATTAGGAGTTGGAACACTAGATCCAATTCCAAATATTTAAGTGTGGTACTACGGAAATGCCTCAGGCAACGCATTTACCTCTATCCCTGTCAATAAAGGTAAGCAAAGCTAAATAATGGTCTTAGAGGAAAGGCATTTGACCAAATGCCAAATATTTATAAATGAACCAAAATGAAGTGTACAGATGAAGTAAGGGTATACACTTTCAACTCTTAGATTTTCTGGAAAATTAGTAAGTATAAATGGCCATAAAATACTGCTGTTAATCAGCATTTTTTTCCTTTTAGAGAGACTACTGCCGTACCTTAGCAGGGTGTGAAGGTGATCCTGTCTTCTCAAAGTCTGTGCCTACCATTGTCCAAGTACCAGTATAGCTAAGTTTAGAGAAGGTCATCACAAGGTTGGACTCAGCAACTTCTGAAGACTAATCTGTGTCACTAGGAGGAGCCACAGTAATGAAATCACAGCTCCTTCTAGTCTTGAAGGAGTATGTCTTACATTGCCCATTTCAAATACTGATCTTAATAATTTGGTTCTGAAAAGCTAACTCTTCCAGGTAATGGACAAAAAAAGTATAATTAAAGACCTCATTTATGTGGCATTACTATGTATTGTTTTAAGCCACACTAAAAGAGTTCATAATATCGAATTTTGCTTTGAAAGAGTCCTTAGAAACCATTTAATCCAATCCCTTCGTTTTACAGAAACAGGCCCAGAGAAATGAAGACACAAGGAGTAAGCTAGCACAGTGAACTAACTCCAAATTCAGGTGTCTCTCCATCACACCACATTTATATAGTATTTGTTAAGGCATTTTGACATCAATTTCTCAGATGGGTTCTTCCATCTAGAAGATGCAGCATGGCATAATGGATACAGAGAACTAGCCTTAGAGCTAAAAAGTCCCGAGTTCAGGTCTTACCTTGGACATATTCTGGTTGTGTGAAAGTGACT